GGGCTTCAGCGCAGGGAGAGGGTATGCCATGTTGGTCACTTACATTTTGATGAACAAAAGTACCCAGCCCCAAGCCATAAACGGCAACCCTAAACCCTAAACCCTAAGCCCCAAACCACTCAAACCGAGAGCCCTGAAAGGCAACCCTAAACCCCAAAGCCCTAAACCCTAAACCCTAAACCCTAAAACCCTAAACCCTAAACCCTAAACCCCAAAGCCCTGACAGTGAAGCGGATTTTATCTCTGGACCGACAGCCTTCCACGAACACCCCATCCAAGACTGGAAACCTGAACGCCGGACTACAAAGCTTAAAGAACGGTTTAGGGTTTAGGGTTTAGGGTTTAGGGTTTAAAGCTCCTAGGAATATCGAAATAGTAATGGTCGAAAACTGTTCTGCAGCTGTAACATTCTTAGATAACCTGCGCTGCACGGATTTTGCTACTACAGCTGCCTCCTAAATTGAAGGCCCCATACGGACGACTTTCAAGGCTACCAGCCCTAAACGCCAAGCCCGAAGGCCTAACCCTTACCAAGTCCTGAGCCCCGAGAAAGCCTATAGTCCAAACCCACTTGGATGATATACGTGCAACTATAAGCCAGGTAACTATACCCAGAACCCAGATTAGGGGACTTATAACAAGTTATAACCCCGCGTATAACTACCCATGAACCTCCAAGCAAAGCCGTGAATGCAAGGTTCTCCGATCCGGCCCAGGTGCGCACTGCACCGGCTGGCAGGGCGGGGGCTCTGAGCCGGTCGCGGAGCCGTCCTCTGCAGGCAAGCCTACGATAGGGTTTAGGGTTTCGGGGGTTTAGAGGGTTCAGGGTTTAGGGTTTATGGGGTTTGGGGGTAGGGTTTAGGGCTTAAGGGGTTTAGAGGGTTTAGGGTTTAGTGTTGATGGGGTTTAGAGGGTTTAGGGTTTAGGGTTTACGGGGTTTAGAGGGTTTAGGGTTTATGGGGTTTAGAGGGTTTAGGGTTTATGGGGTTTAGAGGGTAGAGGGTTTAGGTTTCGGGTTTTCGACTCTCGTTCTCGCAAAGCCGGCAAGGCTCCACATAATCCCTTCACGCAAGACGACGGCTCAGAGCATCAACAAACACACCAAACAATCTGGTTAGGGTTTAGGGTGTTTCAGAGAGGTTTTGTTGAGGGCAAGCCGATGACAGGGTTAAGGGTTTAGTTGCGGCTTATAGGGTTTAATTAGGGTTGTTTTAGGGCTCTAACGCTAAGCCGGGCCATCTAGGAGTACGGCTTCTGGACCCTAAAGAAGCTACCTTTGTCAGAAAGCCCCACAGCCAAAAGCCTTAAGCCCTTAACCACATGACCCCTAAACCCGCAAACCGCAAAAACTCAAAAAACCTACACCGCCCCAACTCCAAACCCTTAAGTAGGAACCCTCATATAGTTCCTATAAGGGAACCCCTAAATCCCTCACTCCTCCGTGCACGTGTAGGTATTCACACCGGCGGTGCTGCTGTAGCCAACGGCGCACTCCTGTGTGCAGCTCTGGCCTGAGCTCGGTTTAGGGCTTAGGGTTTAGGGTTAGGGTTTAGGGCTTAGGGTTTAGGGCTTATAGGGCTTATAGGGTTTATAGGGTTTATGAGTTTTTATAGGGTTTATAGGGTTTATGCTGTTTATAGGGTTTACAGGGTTTAGAGGGTTTAGGGTTTATAGGGCTTATAGGGTTTATAGGGTTTAAAGGGTTTAGGGCTTATAGGGCTTATAGGATTTATAGGGTTTAATAGGGTTTAGAGTTTATAGGGTTTATAGGGTTGATAGGGCTTATAGGGGTTTATAGAGTTTATAAGGTTTATCGGGTTTATAGGGATTATAGGGTTTAGGGGTTTAAGAAGAATAATGGTAGTAGTCGTGGTGGTAGTAGTCGTCGTAACAATTATAATAATGGGAGTAAAAATGATAATGCTTTCTATAGGTTTATTATAAATACAGTAGTAAGAAGAATAGTGTCATAGATATTGCAGCAGCAACAACAGTAGCAATAACAAAATAGTTCTATCCAGACTTTGAAGGTTAGTACAGTCCAGGGTTTGGGATTCTAGCGGTCTAAAGGTTTTTTCCCTCTCGCATAGCAGAGAACAAAGCTCACAGGCGCGGTTAGCATAGGACAATCTTCTGAGTTGCTGGTCTAAAGGTTTAGGATTTGGGCCTTTAGGCGTTTACCCTAAACCCTAAACCCTCAAGATCCCGTTTAGGGTTTAGGCCTCGTGGCGGTTAGGCTGGGGTGGCGGTGGATACGCTACACTGAAAGCTTTGAAGCGCAACTTTGGCGCCTGTCGTCAAAGAGGAGCAGTTGTCGATCAGGTTCGGGCTGGGAACCGGCAGACCAGAATCGCAGGCCTGCACGTAACGATAGGATTTACAAGTTGCTTGAAACTACAGCGAGTTAAGGCCTGCAGAACCTCCGCAAAGTCCTAAATCCCGTTTAAGACCCCGAACCCCGAACCCCTCTTGCCCTCCAACCGCACAGCCCTGAAGTGGGCATGCTTTAGCGAAGTGTTTGCTGGGAACCGCACCTTTGGGAATGTACTTGGGCTTAGGGCATGCGTGCAGGGCTTGAGGCTTGGATGGGGTTTCCAGTTCAGGATCGGAGACGGGAAGGCTTCTGAAAGTAAAGCTGCCTAAACGCTGAAGAAGTTTTGGTTCTTTATAAACGTCCACTAGTTTTCCGTCTCGCAAGAGCCGGGAAGCGGTTTTCCGCTGGCCGTACGAGGGAAGCTTCTTGCATCCCTTCAGCGTGTAAGGCTTGAGATTGGTTTTAGATTCTCAAGTATATAGGGCTTGGGGTTAATCATTATGCCCTAAAACAGAAATACGACTCCGACTGCTGGAAGACGACTGCAATTGATTTGTTGGAAGGCTGTGTCAAGCCTAACGCTGAAGTTTAGAGGCATGTACAATCTGTACACAGACACACACTGCACTAGGTTTAAATGACAAAGATGAAACTATTGCTAACATTCATCCAAGCTCGGTGTTCCCTTCGACACGAGGTCCTGAACCCGTAGTGCTCTCTTAGGGTTACATTAACATCAGAAGTATCCCTGTCATCTCCTCTGGTTGGCCTTAGCTTTCCCTCTAGACACTAGACTTCTGGACCTTTTGAAAGAAGGGCCCTCAGCCCAGCAAGCACTTCTCTTCTACCCATCAAAACCCTCCTACAAGTAGCCACTTCGTTTGAAAAGAGCCCTAATAATCCTTGAAGAGAACCTCCAACTTCCCTCACCCTGCAACCAACACCCCAAACACCACTAAACCTCTCAAAGCCCCTAAAATCCCTGAAGTGGATATCAAAAACCAACCCTAAACCCTAAACCCTAAAACCCTAAACCCCTAAACCTCTCAACCCCTAACCCCTCAACCCCTGAACCCCTCAACCCCTAACCCCTAAACCCCTAAACCCTGAACCCTGAAAGCCCCCAAGCGCCCCAGTGGTCGCCTGAGGCTCACAGGACGGCAGCGTCCCGCTGAGGAAGAGGATACCATCAGAGTTGCGCATGCACTTCCACTCCTGGAAAAAAGGTGGGGGTTTAGGGTAAGGGTTTAGGGATTAGGGTTCGGGGGTTTAGGGTTCAGGGGGGTTTAGGGCTGTTAGCGTTTATGGGAGTTAGGAGTTTAGGGATTGCAGGGTCTGGGGCTTTTGTTAATTAAGGTTTCTATGGGGTTCCATAAAGGCTCTATCATGCCAATAGTCCCACTCCTGTTGCTACCACTATTATGACTACTAGTAGTGCAATAGTACCTGCAGTAGTGGTGTTGGCGGTAGCAGTGGTAATCGCGCTATGTCAGTGATGCCGATGATGAGGCATCGGTTGTTACTTCTGCGAACTATTGACCAGCACAAGCTATGGGGTCCAAGCACCAATTCAGTAGGCTCGCAGTAGATGTTGGGGCCTGTGCATAGCATCCTGTACCATCTTACACCCAACGAGGCTTGAACCTAGAACCCTCGGGCTTTCACGCCAGCCATCATGTGCAGCTCCTGAACAGCTTGGGCTGAGGGTTGCTTTGCACGAGGCGCTTCTTGGTAAACGAAGGTCCCTTGAGGCATCCCCCAAAGAGCTGGGCACTCTTCCCATTTTGGAGAGGTCCCATTGTGCACCACAGTGCTCCTCGATGGTGCTGCCGTTGCTGAGGATGAACCTGTTAGGGGTTTACGCAGGATCCTGCTGTTCTGGAGAGTAGGGCCTTTGACATCGGGTAAAGAATGGTGTGGGATGGAAACGAAGTGTCCGAACAGTCATAAACATGGAGACCTAAGCAGCAATCAGAACAAGGCTGCGAGTACGCATGAAATTCCAGATCCAGCTCCCCAACATAAACCTTAAAGTAACCTCACACACCAATCTTCAAAACAACACCGCAGAAGCAAGAAGTGACAAAAAACAAACTACATGTACCAAACAGCTGAACAAATATTGCAAGCTCCTTAAGGGCCTAAACCCTAAACCCTGAACCGCTCAGGACAAAAACAAACTACTTGTACCAAACAGCTGAACAAAATTGTAAGCTCCTTAAGGGCCTAAACCCTAAACCCTGAACCGCTCAGGACAAAAACAAGCTACTTGTACCAAACAGCTGAACAAATATTGTAAGCTCCTTAAGGGCCTAAACCCTAAGCCCTGAACCGCTCAGGACAAAAACAAACTACTTGTACCTAACAGCTGAACAAATATTGTAAGCTCCTTAAGGGCCTAAACCCTAAACCCTGAACCGCCCAGAGTTTGCCAAGAGGCCCCGGAGCGCAAAAGACCGCGCAGGTGGCTCCATAGGCGACTCCTGGAATCGAACAGGGTTTGTTTGCTTTGACACCCGTTTTTCCGACTGCATAAGTAATTATGCGCCAGGGGCCTCTTGGGCAGGCTTGTTGGACCCTCACACTCACTTCGTTCCCAGATCGTGGATCGATCCACTTTCATTTGTTTTTTCGGCCGCAGGGTGCCGTAAGTATGGAGCCAGTGGACTTCGCAGGAGCACTTGCGTCAGGCGTTCCAACGAAGTGTAAGAAGAGGTTCAGCCTGCGCGGCTTCAAGCTTGACCTGCATGCGTCGGACCGCATTCTCCACGCAGCTATCACGGCGGCCTGCGTCGACGAGGATATTCTTGCCCTTTCTCTCAGTGCGCACTCCTCGAGAAAGGAGCTGTGAGCGATACCCAGCGTGCTTGAAGATGTCCAAGCTGCATGGGCTGTACATTGCCAGCCAGAGCTCGTCGAAGTACACTCTGCTGGAAGCATCAAGCGGCTCCTCCTTGATATTACAGAACTCGCAACTCCATGATTTCCGGCTGGGACGAAAGCACACCTTGGCATATTTTACCTCCACCCTGACCCCGTTCCTGATCCAGTCAACAGCAGCATTGCCGGACCCTCTCCTAATACTACCATTCGAAGAAGGCTCGCCCGCAGCACTCTCAAACATGCCGTCTGGGTTCCGCATCTTGTCAAACTCAAGCGCTATTTGCTGAATTCGCTTTGCACGAATACCGGTTGTCAGATTGCTCATCGGAACGCCATCGTAAGCTCTGTCATGTGAAGACAGGGCTTTGAGCTGCAGTTCAGTGTACAGTGCCGAAACTGCCGAGTGGGTTTTCGCAATCCTGCCAACCAATTCGCAGGCCCCTTTCATAGTCAGTTTGTTCACAATGGTGTCTGTAGCCTCCTGCCAGGAGGTCTGCCCGGATGCCCCCGAAATCCGTATGGCGTGCCCTCCAGTCCTAGTCGCCACACCTGCCTTCCCGATGCCTGTTGCCAAGTCATGTTTGATGAGGTAAAAGTCTTCTGGGGTATATATCAGAAGATAGAGATCATCAAAGGGTTGCTCCGCCCAGTGTCCACCTTGTCCCAACTTAACATTCGTAAAAGTAGTCCTCCAAATCTTTCTTTTAGAGTCGAAACAAAGCATGGCGGTCTTGAGCTCGACACGCCTGCCCCCCAGTGTGAAATCCCATTCTGCTGTGGAAGAACCAGGCTGGCTTCCATCGGCATATGTCAACGAGGAGACTGCATCTTCCGAGCACAATTCGGGGTGCATGCGCTCCAGTGTGCTGCGAGTGAAGGACTCCAGAAGCATCCCACGCCTTTTCTCGTTGATCCTGGCGAGTGGATCATCACCATACACTGAAGAGGGGTAGCTTGGATGGTCGTAGAGGTGTTGGAAGCATGACGAGTCCATCACAACCAGCCATCGGCGTGACAGAAGTCGACTGGCAGGCCTTCGAATACCCCAGATCGTAAGCCTAGTCCCGAGCATTTTTGGGCTGCCGGTCACTTTCGTGCGTGGCTAATGAGTTTCCAAAAAGCTGCATCTGCGTGAGATGGATGCGCTGTTCGGAAAGGCGATCCGAGGATTCCAGAAGCCGGGCCACGCCTTTGCTTGACGGACCTGGGATTTGAGAACGGTGCAAGTGAAGAAGCCTGTTCTGAATCCTTGAGCCAAAACAGGGTTTAGGGTTTTAGGTTTTAGGGTTTAGGGTTTAGGGTTCAGGGCTTTAGGCTTTAGCGCTTTGTGTTTTGGTGTCGGACCCCAGACCCCCTCAGAGGATCTAGAAAGTAGAGCCCCTGATTTGACACCCGACACTACTAAGGGCACTTTATAGGAACCCCCATGAAAGCATCTACTCTCCAGATGCTTCCGGGGGGTCTGTGATGGAGTTTCGACACACGTTACTTTCAAACCCGCACATTGGTCAGGGATTTAGGGATGTGCAGGGATCTTCATTGAGGGTTTAGGGTTGAGGATGGAAGGTTTAGGGCATAGGTTCGAGCGTTTAGAGCTGAAGGTTCCGGTTACCTATAGGCTCCATTATACTTCCTTTTGGTGGCTTATATTTAGGATCCTATAAGGAACTCCCAAAAGGAGCTACAATGGAGCCTATGGGTACAGTTTAGAGCTATTGGGGGGTTAGGGGTCGGGTTTACGGTCAACAGAAGCCTCTTAGGGTTGCTGTAGGGCATCAGAATTCTAGATTTATGATAGGGCCCCTCAGAGGAGCCCTTTGTTCTAGGACCTAAGCACTTTTACGCTTGGACTATGTATATGCAAGCAACCGCGGGTGCCGATCGTGCTGTGGACTGGTGCCACCTGGCTACCCCAGACTGCACAAATCGATCAGGTGTTCATCCCAAGCTTCAGGATGCGACGGAAAAAGCCCTCACTTCAGCATCCTAGAATGCTCGACTTGCCTTAGACTCGTCAAGTCGTCGTAGGCGGTCTTCTAGGCCCTAAACCCTAAACCCTAGAATGGGTTTAGGGTTATTTCTAGATCTATTTTACCTTGAGAGAGCCCTGAGCCCTTGAAAGAGCCCTTGTCCCTCCTTCGCAGGTGTCTGTCAGGGATGACACGGCCAGCGTAGTGTTGACCGGACACGGCTCAGGCTTGCAGGATGGAAGCGTGCCCAGCAGGAAGCCTGGGGCAGAATGGGGTTTAGGCCGTAATTACGGGAATTTCGGACAAGAAGGAACCCGTCTTTAGAAACGGATGGGATCCAGAAACCATTGAAATGACGTGCGCCAAGAAGCAGGGGCGAACAAGACAATATCTAAGCGAGCACACGCATAGTCATCAAGATGTGCTCATCGTCAGCATCATCAGCCCCGAACTCTAGACCCTCAAACCCTAAGCCCTAAACCCTAAACCCGAAGCCCTGAACCCTAAAGCCCTAAACCCGAAGCCCTGAACCCGAAGCCCTGAACCCCTAAACTCCAGAAGCCTCAAGTCCTAAACTCCAGAAGCCTCAAGTCCTAAACTCCAGACTCCCTGAACCCTAAACTCTAGAAGCCTCAAGTCCGGGCAAGCAGCCTGAGGTGTCGCACGTGAGCATCGCAACGTTCGGGGTGTAGCCCGGGTTGCAGGTGACCTGGGTTTAGGGTTTAGGGTTTTAGGGTTTATAGGTTTAGGGTTTAGGACTGAAGATGCAAGAGCATGGGGAATTAATTGGAGAGTCGAGGGTGAGTGTTAAGCTTAATTGTTGAGTTCATAAGCCCAAACAAGTGCACACGGTTCAGTTCTACACGAGATAATGTTAGGGATGTTTGAGGACGCGTGTAGGTTTGAGAGGGCTTAATAGGTCTGCTCCATTCGACAGTGGTTCGGCTGCTGTCCCTAAACCCTAAGGGGTGGCTCATGTTCTGTTCTGCAGTCCTTACTTCACTCGATGTTGGATGCCAGTGCACCGTCCTCCGACCGTGTATGCAGCAGGGTGTCCTGTTGTAGTTCTCCAAACCTGCTCGGCTTTCATTCTAGGTTCCCGAGTATAGTTATACTATAAAGGAGCCCAAAACCCTGTTCTGACTATTAACGTCCCTACACTAAGTTCATAAGGCTTCATAGGATTCTTGTTTGTGCAAGGCGTCGGCGAGGTTCTAGTAACCGCTTGAGAGATGCGGTGCAGATGGAAAGCTTTGGGACTGGGGGCTGTTGCAGCCAAGAAGCCAGGCAAGTTTGACTGGTCGTCTTCCCATCGCAGCCTTACAGAAAGCGACTTGCGGGTCTCTTTCAAGAAGAAGCAGTGTCCAGCGAGCTTCCACAGTGGTGCAAGTGCCCTATCTCAGGTTGAAGGGCCCGTTCATACCATCCAGTGTCGTAACTCTGCCTTCAACCAAGTCTGGACGAATGGACAAGCCACGAACAAACCGTAGGGTAGCACATGTCGTGACCGTTCCAGCTAGGCCAGAAACAAACCGGCAAACACTCCGCTGCAGGCCCAAACTCAACCTCAAAACACTTCACTCGAATTATGGAGAACCTCAAAGGAACCTTTCTAGAATCCTCAAAGGAGCTCTGAAAGGAACTTCGAACATCCCCAACCAATCGCGCCAGGCACAACTTTATAAAGCTGAAAGTTTAGACTTAACCCCACCAGACCTCGGCCTGCACGGCCTTGTTCCCCAGGCGTTTACATAGAACAAGAGCTATTCGTACTGTGCCTTCAGGCAAGATTTCAGGTGCTCCAACCAGTCCCTACATGACACCTACAAACGACTACCCGATGCACTCTCGCGAAATGCAATATGTATACTGTGTAGTCTTCGCGAAGACCCTAATTATCCACTGCGAAGGTGGCACCCGACGTGTCGAACGCAGGATCCGTCGGGAGCGTGTTGGAGCACCTAGGAGCTCACACTTCGACTGTCGCCACACACGTTCCCGCACGAGGGCTTGTACTATTGTGTAGGGTTTCTATTTGGTTCTTTATGATAGACCCTAACGTTTAGGGTCTATCATGTATCATCGAATACATGACTTGCAACTGTAGCGAGTGGATTCAAGCTGGCTCGGGTTTGGGGTTCAGGGCGGGGCCCACGAGGGACTTGAATGCATCGATATCCTAGGACCTAGGTTTGGCAAAGGCACATGCTTGAAATATGATAGGAATCAGAGGCTCTATATTTACTACCATTATGGAATTAGGTCCTTACAACCATAGCACGGATGGTCTTTTGGGACCTAATTCCATAGTGGCACTATATGAGGAGCCTCAAGGGGATGAATGTAAGTGCGAAGAGAATGGGCTGGCGGGAAAGAAAGGGCAGGGTTTAGGGTTTAGGGTTTAGGGCAGGCTGCATACATACAATTCTGAGTCCCGGCTCCTAGCGTACGCAGCTGTCCAGTGTCACTGGCACATGTTGTCTCGACCCTGTTGGTGTATCTGGCGCTTCCCAGAAAGCCCAACACAACATAAAGCGAACATGTCCAGTGCCCGGGCACGGATTGCCCACACAGGCTGGAAGCGTGCCAGTGATGTTGCCGTCGGCCTGTTTAAGGTCGAGGTGTGAGGCTGCACCTTCTCTCAAACCCTTTCCAGATCAGCAGTTGCTAATATAAGGGCCCTCCAGAATTAGAATGGGTGTCATGTTTTAATATTTGAACCTACATCGTAATAAGAACAATAAACGGATGATTGCTTAGAATACAAAAATAAAGCCCTATGAAACCTTGGCGATACCTTAAAGCCGAAGCTTTGAGCCTTGGAACATTCGCGGGCAAGGCTCAACCCCATTGTCCTCTTGCGCACCCTTACACCCCAAACCCTTAACCGTCTTGCGGAAGATCGCCCTGAACCCTGTGCTCTCAGGCCGTGCACTGAACACATGCCCACACCCTTGATTAGGTTGCACTGGGCCTCAGAAACTTTGTGGTAGCTATCTAATATAGGGACCTTAATAGTTAGAATAGGGCTTTGGGGGCCCATTATACTATAATTACAATAAGGAACCCCCAAAATCGTCCTAGTAATTATGTAGGCCCCTACATTATATGGAAGCCCTTATCCTCGGAAGGATCCTAGCCAGGATATTGCGAGCTAATGTAGGAGCCTTAATATTTCGAATAGGGTTTCAGGGCCCGCTATACTATAAGTATTGGTAATTATTTAGGCCCCTATATTACGTGGAGCTTCGAATCCTGACACATTCGCGCTTCCCGCTCTCGGTGGAACCACAATCCCGCACCCAGACAGGCGGCTTTAGTTTTTGGTGAAGAAAGGCATCCAAGAAAAATCACAACATCAGTAAGCTTTCCCTATAAACCACCAAAAATGACAAAACAAAAACATCAAACAACACATATACCCGGAAAGTAAAGCAGTAAAGCCTAGTTGGGAATCAGCGCCGATGCCGGGGAAAGGCCTGGCACTGGAACTGCCCACTCGCTCCATCCAGTGTGTAGCCTGTCAGTGGGTAGTTTTCTAAATTAGGGTCCCTTTTGGGGTCCTTTTTATAAGGGTGCCGTACTATATTGGGGACCTAAAATGGGACCCTAATTTAGAGAACCACCCCAGTTTCGACTCGCACACTCGCTCAAGGCAGGCACGGCTCCTAAACCCTAAACCTGAACCGTTTAGGGTTTAGGGTCAGTTTAGGATTTCGGGGTTACGCTCTCGCATTTCGGGGTTAGGCTCCGCCGCCACAGCACATATTTTGGGGTTTAAGGTTTTTGGGGCTTTGGAGTTCCAGATGATTCCAATCTTTGGCGTGTGCCGTCCTCAGAGCACGGTTGATGATCTAAATCCTGCAGCACCCTTAAGAAGGAATATGCCACGACTTAACCCTAAACCCTAAACCCTAAAGACTCTAAAGCCTAAGCCCTAAGCCAGGGGTTTAGGGTGCTGGAGATTCATGGTTTCCGATCTCTGAAAACGGGAAATCACCTTGGGCTTTAGGGTTTAGGGTATTAGGGTGTGAGGTTTAGGGTTTGGGGTTTACACTTCAATGTTTGGAGTTTCGACGCGCGCACACACACACACACTCGC